GCAGGAAGAGATTGAAACATCACTGAACTAGCAACCTATACAAAATTGGCACACACTTCCAGAGATAATAAATAAATTTGATCCAGGCACTGCTCTGACCATGAGTAAAGGTGGGGAAGCAGGACAGGAATTCTCAGAGTCTCATAATTTGCCATGTCTTGGGCAAATTCAGACAATACTGTCTCACAAGTACAAGAATACCTTGGTCGCATGCCCAAATATTTTTCTGCTACTTCAAAGAGCTAATGTTAAATGCTCTTCAAGAATAAATCTATATAGGAGTTCATACAGAAGCTGGAACATTTTAATTGCTCTAAGGAAACAGATAGTGATGACGCTTACTGTAGCCTGAATCCACCTAAACCCCAAACTGAAAGGAACAGATAGGCCTCCACATCCAATTCACCCTCTAAAATGACATCTTCCCAGAGAAGATTTTCTTGTTCATCTTTCCTACCTTTTCATTCTCTGCAAACTCCTGCAATATAATTTGTCTCTCCACACACAGTTCCAAGAAGTCTTCTGAATGGAAACTTTCATGTAGAGCAGGGAAGAACGTTAGCTGGTTACAATCTGATCCCTTCTTATCCATCTCCCTTTCTGCTTCATTTAACATCAGCTCTCCTATATCAGTATAAAAGAGATTGCAGTTTTAGTGGCAGCCGGATGACACCAAAAGCATTTGCAATTTAGACTTTCACCCAATCTGTTCTACCTTGGGAAACAGCATTATTTATCTGCAAAAAACAGGCAAGAGAGAAGTAAAATCTGTGACTGCTAAAGAAGGATGCTTAGTTCATGGAACTAAAAACAGGTAGCTGCACTCAGTCATAATTCAAACTAAATTCCTATAATCACTGAAGGTTCAAACATATTGAAGAAATATATTCTCATTTCTGCACTGTGTTGGACTGATCATCTGATAATCAAATAATTTTTTTAAAAAAGAATCTGTTCACATGCTCGCATGAAATTAGGAAAAACTGAAAATGGTAGTCTTTTGGGGACATGCACTAGGCAGGATCTTAAGAAAACCCAAGGAGAGACAATTGACTCATATCTTGCCCAAGCTGTGTCCCAAGTTTTGCAAATTCATGTAGTGCACACAGTTAGGGGAAGCATGATCAGCCTTCTTACTGAGGTAGACTGTAACCACTTTCATGCAGAAACTATGTAGTACTTCAATCTTGTCTGGAGTCTAGAACAATGAGCTCCACTCTCACTTGGTTTCTAGGCCCTATCACACTAAAACACACTAAAAAGCATAGAACGATACTGCCTATTTCCAACAGTGTACACTAGAAGCTTGACTTGGAACAGCCATAGAGGTGGCTGAAATCCACAGCCTTAGACTTAGGTGACATTTCCAAACTACAGTTCTTTCTCAATGTTTTTTTTTTCCCCTCTCTGAAAAACTATTGACTCCTGTACCATATGTCACTCCCCCCACCTCCCCCTCTTCTTTCAGTGTTGCACGTAACAGAAAACCTGGACTTGGAAAATGAAAAATGTTGACATAATGATCATATTTTGAAAAATCTGGTCCTATATTGAACACCGAAAGACAATTTGACATGTTAATTTTCTTGGTGATTTCCTTCCACTCTCTATTATTTTATTCACATTCTTGGAAAGTTACAATTCCTATTACCACTTCTCTGAGCCATCTATCACTTTGTTTTAAATACTATTTCAGAGGTAGAACTGGAGTGTCTGCTAAAAGCAGGGGGAAAGTCTGTACTTTTCCTTCTGAGTTTAAGCAGTTGGGAGCCTTGCAGGTGTTCAAGAATGCCCAAAGCTTTCATTTCAAGATAGCTTTTTTGTTTTCAGATATTTATGGAGGGAACAAGGGAGCAACAAATTCTGAAAACAACTCATATACCACCTGTAATAATTGCATCAGTCTTTTCCCAGGTGTTCAAGTGACTTTTTAGCCCAGAGCACTGTCAACAAGGTTTTTTTCACTAGATGAAATCCTGGAACTCCATACACTAACTCCAATTCTCTTAGGCTGTTTGTGTCCACCCTCATGATGATTTAATTTATCCCTAAAAGGTTACCTGGATTCACTTCAGCAGTGGGGGTTGTTTCATTCCTGTTTGCTAGGAGAACCTGAAAAGAGACTAGGTATGACTAGAGTGGAATATGCAGCCAGGTAAACATAATTCAGAACCTTGTTGCAGAGAAAAAAAAAAAAAACAGATTTAGAACTACGTTGCAAGTAAATGCCTTGGAAATTCAAATAAACTCATCTGAAAGGACCCAAAGGAACAATTAAATGTAGGAACAAATGTCAACAATTAAGCAAAGGGACTACTGTCTTTTCAAAGAAGACCCTGCATGAGGCAAGTTATAGGATAAAAATCATACCACCCAGTCTACAGAAAACAGCCAGAATCCAAGCTTCACATAAAAGCTGAAAATGTACTAGAGATGGGAACCTCCTGATATACTGAAGTGCTTCAGCTTCTGGTTGACAGGATTTGGCACTTAGACACTATAGTAGTAAATACCCCACATATACAGTTCAGTGCTTAGTTAAACCACTCTAATTCCCCTTTTGATCATCCACCAGTTCTAGCAGCCCTAATAAGCATAAGACTAACAGGACAGTACAGCTATCTAACTGGACTCTGTTGCATACATTGGGAAGTGCTATACCCATGAGATATTAAAAGCAGAAAAGTATGGTTGGGTTATATTCTCATCTGTCTGGGGAGATCTTATACCAGAAAAGAGGGAAAATCATTCTGTTGCTGCTAAACACATTTCAGCCCCTCTTACTCTCCGAAAATCAGACAAGTTCAGTGGGTTCTCTATGCATGGCACAGCATACTGATGAGTCAGGTAATGAGAACCAGCAGAAAGAGGCGAGTATGAAGTCACCAGTGACTGTTACAGAAATTGTGCACCTCCTGCAACAGTTTTGTACCTCACTCTTCATTCGCATCACTGTCACTCGGGCATTGATGTGCTGAATCCTCCTCCTCATTCGTGAAGGCCCTTCATAACAATCAAGAATCCATCGTGGCTCTAAGGTTTGTGATGGATCGCCCCATGGGCCCCTTCTGTAGAAGAGTTGCTCCTCAAGTATCATCCAGTCCTTGGCTGCTTTGCTGTAACCACACTGCAGCATCTGTGGGACAGAACCACTTTGTGCCACCTTTTGCATACTTCCCTCCTCCCATCCAATAGCAGCACCACCCCAGCGATTCAGAGGGATCTACCCACCCTCCTCAATGGGACCACTGCAGAGGTAGTGCTGCAGACCCAGCAAACACTGACCACTGAAAGTGTGCTGTGGGAGGTGCTAGTCAAACTAAGATACAGTGACAAATATAAGCATGTTGCAAAATTCAACCTCCTTGAAAATGGCTGCTTTCATTACATTTCCAACTCAAAAGCAGTGAGCCAGGAGAACAGCATCACAGAGGTTTTATTCACTCCAGTTTTTTCTGGCTAATGTTTGTGTCAAATGGCAACAACCATGCTCACTGAAAACACAGTCTGAAAGTCTCAGTCAGAAGCACACTGTGCTCCCTCCAAGCATGGCATAAATTTAATTATTTCTACTTAGGAGGTGTGTGCAGAGAATTGCGGGGCACTGAAACATCAATTTAAGGGAGAGAAGAGGTGAGAATTTCAAAGAATGAAAAGCTTGTTGATCTCTGACGGCCAATCCTGAAACAGAAACATACCTGTGAGATTTTACTGGCTATGAGCTTGAGACCTCTTGAAAAGTTTTACTGGCTGCTAAGAAAAAAAACCGTCAAAGTCCTTACTTTCATGTCTGCCACTGTGAAAGTGGAATAATTCATTTATACAAAAGAAAAAAGGCTTCTGAAGGTAAAGTGAGGATCTGTGATCTGATTGGTGAGTGACGCTATATCAGACTTCAGTGATGTCAGGAACAGAGTATCAACTCATCAACTCTCAGCATTTCTTTGTGCTTACTACTCATCTAACTTCTGAAATGCCTGATTTCGCAGGGTAGCCCAAGAGCATTCTTTCAACAACAGAAAGCTGCTGCACAATATTCCTGTTATTTACCTGTACGTGGTTCTTGTACAAAGAGGCATACAGCTCCTGCCCAATTCTTCGGTACCGTTCCATACATGACACAAATCCCTAGAAGAAACATCAGAACACATTACACCAAGGTGGTGCACATGAGGGGCAGAAGCAGGAATTAGCTGCTCTGCCTTTTCCAAGAATAATTAGGGAATGTGGCCTGCGTCTGTGAGTTTGGTGGCTCTCCAGACAGTATAGTGATGAAGCAATCATCTGAAAGCAAGTTGCACACTTACACCAGGAAAATAAAAATGTTCATGATCTTAATAAGGGTCTTTAGTGGAACTACTCAGAAGAAGAAAGAAAACAGCAAATAAAATTTAAGGCTCCTCCTTTTGAGCTGGATTAGTTAGTACTGCAAGTAGCATAAAAGCCAATTATCTGTTGTAGAGGCCCCAACTGAGGTAAGGATCCAGGATTAGGAACTATACACCTGGTCCTTGCTGCATATACAGGAAATGCAGACAAAGGAATGGTCCACATCTTCTTTTTGCAGACAGGAAACCAACTGTTTCAAAAAACATTTTTGAGATTTAGAAGCCTAAGTCTTCTGGTAACAAGTGACTTGGAGTGTAAATACACTATTTAATGAGACTGTGGTGCAGAGATGTCTCAGCTAGCTCTAGAACTGGAAACTTGTAGAGCTGTACTAGTGCAAGAAGACACACATAATAACTGCCTCTGCTCCACTACATAACACAGTCATGCTCTAAACCTCAGGGCTACTCGGGTGTTTCTGGAAATACATGTTTTCCAAAGCAGTCTGACAGAACTTCCTGGCCACTTTTCCTTCCAGAATGCACTAGACTCACAGAACAGTGAACCTGCATTAACAGTCATACATTTCATCTGCTGTTTTATTGGAATGAACTTCTGAAGCTAAGGGTCTCTGTGCAAGTACAAGACTGATGAACTGCTGTCAAGAGATTACAAGTTTCATTCCCCACTCTGCAAACAGACTGTTATGTAATCTTCAGCAAGACATGCAATTGCCCTAAACCTCTACCTCTCCAACCACAAAACAGAGACTATGCAATGAGCATAACAATGGTCCAGTGTGGTGGGATCCTTAAACTCAGGGAGTAGGGAAATGAAATGGGTTTCATTCTCTTAGAATCACAGAATCATTTAGGTTGGAAAAGACCTTTAAGATCATCAGGTCCAACCATTAACCTAGCACTGCCAAATTCACAACTAAACCATGTCCCTAAGCACCACATCTACATGTCTTTTAAATACCTCCAGGCATGGTGACTCAATCACTTTCCTGGGCAGCCTGTTCCAATGCTTGACAACCCCTTCCAGGAAATTTTTTCTAATATCAAATCTAAACCTCCCCTTGTGCAACTTGAGGCCATTTCCTCCTGTCTTATCGCTTGTTACTTGGGAGAAGAGACCGACACCCACCTCGCTACAACCTCCTTTCAGGGAGTTGTAGAGAGCGGTAAGATCTCCCCTGAGCTTCCTTTTCTCCAGCGTAAACAACCCCCGTTCCCTCAGCCGCGCCTCATAAGACCTGTGCTCCAGACCCTTCACCAGCTTCGTTGCCCTTCTCTGGACACGCTCCAGCACCTCAATGTCTGTCTTGTAGCGAGGGGCCCAAAACTGGACACAGTATTCCAGGTGCGGCCTCACCAGTACCTAATACAGGGGGACAATCACTTCCCTAGTCCTGCTAACCACACTATTTCTGATACGAGCCAGGATGCTGTTGGCCTTCTTGGCCACCTGGGTACACTGCTGGTTCATGTTCAGCCGCTGTCGACCAACATCCCCAGGACCTTTTCCACCAGGCAGCTT